AGACTCTTCATGTTAAAAAACATTTGCAAAATTTGTCGCTTTTTATTGGATGGGAGACATCGTAATGAAGGTGAATATGTGAGGCTCCCTAAAGAGCAGACTCATTGGAACCTCACATTCTTCTCCAATTATGTAACAAACCGAATCAATCAATTTCCATGTTGAATAGGGAGTCGCTGACTGCAAGTTTCATGCAAAATATAATTTTACACCCCTTACCCTCCTTCATAGTAAAAATGTATACATGGATGTTGGATGAGTATACATAAATAACATTAAAATACGTGCCAACACCTATATCTCATTTTATTACTGATACATCAGAGATAATATGGCGGGGGTACACATTGAAAAAATCGCTATTACTTATCTAATTTTGAAACGCAATATGTGTTACATGTTAATTTATATACCGTATAATGTAGAATTGATAATTTTGAATCATCATTATCATTTGATGTTTGCGAATAAAGGAAATGAATACCTATTTCCGAGATCTCAAATAAATAAAAGTGTACTTATTGATTTCAATCAGAATGATATACCTGATGACTACTCATCATCCACATATCATTTAAAAGATCTTCACAAAAGGAATAACGAAGAATGTAAACAAGCAAAGCTATAACAAGACTGACAGAACAATACAAATGTTTACATGATTACATGCCATAAAAAAATAGTTATTTTTGTATCTAGATCGCGAAATGCTACTTTGGTGATCGAGATCTGATTTTTTTGACGAGGCGTAGCCGAGTTGAAAAAATAGTCGAGATGACCAAAGTATTTCGCGCTCGAGTTGCAAACAAAATTTTTTCTACAACCGCCAAAAAAGATAGTTCAAAGTAAAAATATGCTTAGCTTGATATAAAAAATAGTCTTGAACCCCTATCCTCCCTATAGGTACGCACGATGTTCCACGATCATAATAGGAATTACCTTTCGTGCGCTCCAATAGATAAAACAAAGTTATTGTTGAACATTCCGAAATAAATGATTTCGTGGATGCTTGCTCGACTGAGAACCGTGAAGTTGAAATATATCTCATATATTTTACATAACAATGCGCGAAGTAGGTACTTCGCGCACTGTTTTACTTCGCGCATTGTTAGGTGCAAGGTATCATGGTAACGTAGGAAACTGAAAAAAGTGTCACTTCGCACTTTGTTTTCAATGCGCGAACCTTGTCATTTTTTGACGTTTGTAGAAAAAATAAGTTATTGGAAGCAAATTAGCGTTTTGTACATTTTTTTGTTTATTGTTCTGATATAAAAATTCAACTTTCTGTGTATTGAAGTAATATATTTTTCCTTCTTACATTGAAGGTAACATTTGAGGAAATCGTTGGTTACACTTTAGGTAACAGTTTGGTTATACTTTTAGTAACATTTGGTCATAGTTTTGGGTAACACTTTGGTTATACTTCAGGTTACTCTTAAGGTCGAATTTAGGTTACACCGACGCGTGGCATTGGAAAAAAAGATGTCGTTATTACGTGTTATTTAGCCAAATTGCCGCCCTTTATTGATTTTGCCGCCCGTGGCATATAACCTCCAGAAATTTAAGAGCACCAATTCCTACCTTATTTCCCTTGGTTCTCACGATATTCTCTGAACATTACAGGATATCCCTTTTCGTGGGAACCCAGAACATAAAAAAAAATATAGTTGGCGCGCCCCTTTGCCTTTTTATAAGTTTTATATCTCTGGGATCAATCTGTGTTAAATGGGACTTCATAACAAATTAACAAAATAGAGTTACACGACTAATCATGCATATCTATCTAGAAATTCGGTCAAAAACTAACATTTGAAATTATCAAAAAATCAGAACTACTCTCGATCTTCTATCAATTTCTATCCAACAGTACCTAATGTACAAAACCTCAATGTACACGAATCCAGTTGAAAGTAAAGAGCTATCATCAGCCAGGGAGCCAGGTCGAAATTGAAAATTCTATCTAATGTATTTGTTCCATATTTTTTCATTTAATCGGCCAAAGTGTGCCGTGAAAATTGAAGAGCAGTTCTCATGGCGTTTTGTCTGATATTTCTGCATCTGTTAAAATGTTTAGAGAAAAGTGATCACAAAGTGAACTTTTTTGACATAATAATAATTGAATTTTTCCCAAGTCCGGATTTGTATTTTTTTTTTCATTATATTATATTATATTTACCATATCTTGAGAAGTTTTAATAAAGAGAAGTAGCTGCCATGCACATTTCAGCCAATTACGGTGAATCATTTCTGAAATATCGGCCATCAAAGTTATATGGCATTCACATTCACTGTAAATCTTATTCGTTATGGATGGCCAAACAAATATTTCATATACCGTTCCCAAGATATCGTATACTGGCAATATCCGAGGCAATATTTCGCTTATTTTACAAGATAATTGAAAAATTCAAAAACTGCATTGAATGGCATTGAAGTACCTTCTTGATGAAAAAAAAAACTATTACATTTGACACTTCTCTGGCAGCTCCCCACCACTTTTTATTTTCAAATGGCACCCCCCGTATATTGACATTGGAAATTACGTGTAATTCAATTCGGACTACAACGATAACGTATACTTGGTATTTTTTTATTGATAACAAAAATATCAACATTTTGTGACTTGTTTAAATTACTTAATTATCCTTATGAAAATCATGAATTGCCTCCGCTCATGTTTTTGTTTCAATAAGCCGATGCTTCCCATGTCAAAATAATTGTTGAACACTTGCAGTGATTTTTAGTTAATTTTTTGATTCACATAAAAGATATTTTAGTTGAAATTCATACATTAAATGGTATATATGCTATCGTTGTATTCCTTATAGAATATGACACGCAATTTTCAATGACAATATACAGGGGGTGCCATTTCCCAGTCAACCATGAGATGTATAATGATGTATATGCGACATCATTTTGTGACATGCGATATATCGCATTTGAAGTCACAAATTCGTTACCGATACAACGTGGCAATGTGAAAATGTCCGACTCAAGGAACATCACTGTGACGTCGTTCGGACATGAAATGCGACATCACATAAAAATCACTACCAGGTCACATACAACTGTACATTCTATATTACAAATACGTCACACTGTGACACCGATTAGTGGTCCGTACCTATGATATCCGAAAGTAAAAACAGATGATAAAAAACTTATTATGAAAATCCCCATTATTAGTAATCTTAAAGTGAAACATTACACATAACAATACAAATATACATTATACATAATGATACATATCAAATACAATGCATTACCTTGGGATCTTTTATCCACCTTGCTTGAGATAGAGATATTCTTATCACAGAGGACAGATCGAGATGCATGTCAGGTGATATAACCATTGACTACAATTGAGATGAAATAATTACAATATTGTGATTGTACCCACCATAGTTCCCAAATAATTGTACCTGCTAACAGTGCTACCTCTAATTTGAAGCTGATATGTGCTATATAAAGTTTCTCAGATTTTTCAACAGAAAATTTAGAGGGAAATACAGTATGTGCTGAGTCGGACTGTTGGACGACGAAATCGAAGATACAACAAACAACGGCGTGATACACACATGACATGGTCAAAGCTCTGCGCATGTCTGATGTCTGTGTCAAACTCACAGAACACAAAGATGTTTCATTTGGATATCGATGTGAATGATTAATATCCCCGCCACATTACAAATTTTCCTGGTGGTGATGTAACCTTATTGTGACTTTGATAATTGATATCAAATCTACGTAGATGAAATGTGTCAACGAGATATTGCATTTATGTAAGGTTGTGACATCACACCGATGTTGATGTCGCACTATATGGTTGGCTGGGTTGAAAATAAAATTTGGGGGATAACTGCCAGTGAACTGGCAAATGTAATAATTTTTTATGTCATTTGGAAGGTATGTACTTCAATGCTATTCATAGTATTCATGCATTTCTGAAATAAACCTCTGGTGTACGCACTTCAATCCTTTCCTGTTTTACAATTCCTTGATTTTCATCTACTTCGATAAACATATAACATGGCGTGGGTGAATCTCGCTAAGTTTAGTCTGGTGCTGTACCAAAATTACAAGCATCAATGTGACAATAGAGCAATGTCTGCTGACGTCACAACATGGCGCACTCGTCGTTTTCATCAGCTGATCGGGGGACAAACAAAGCTGTGTGTTAATTTTGATTTTATTATTTCTGACCAATTGGTGATTTTGTTGAACTTGTAGATATTATACAAGAAGAATGTGTACATTTTCTTCCAAAATGAGTATCTATTGAGGTATATTACGAGGTATATTAGGTATATTAGAGCTGAACTCAAGTAAATATACCAATTTGAACTCTTCTTTGGACTCATTCACTTCTCTCACAGGATTCATGATGGATGAATTAACAAACACGTCAATAAATAAATGCTCCAGAGGTATTGTATTTTAGTGATACATGTGCAAGAAAGTTACATGTACCCTTATGGAAAATGTGTATGCTTGTCCCCCCCATCAGCTGTTCAATGGCCGACATATGACGTCACTGACAATGCTCTATTGTGACCAATGAAGATAGGAAATATATTTGCGATTTAGCCGCATCAAGGTTGGTAGAACTGATGTATTCATAAGTTCTAGGAATCGCGCCATCTAACATTCAATATGTGAACCCCACGTCCCACGTCATCGTCTGAAATTCAAAAAGAACCAGTATGACTAATGACGAAGCAAATGAAGAGTGAGCGCACCAGAGGTTTATTTCATCAATATTCATGCTCATGCCAAGCAGTTTGTGAATTTTTCAATTATCTTGTCAAAAAAGCGAGATACGATAACTTGGGACAACCGGTAAATACTTCAACTCGTCTTGATTTCCCTTATTCGCCATCTGACTATTTGAGTATCCTCATGAATCACCCGCTGTATAGATTGATATAATAAAGGAAATAATTACTGTGATAATCAGATAAGAATGTTGAAAACGTTTGATCAAATAAAGTACTCACCTCGTTGGCCCCTCGTTCTGATAAACCTCCCACTACCGAAACTTCCATTCCTCCCAGGTGTATTTCGATTCGACATTTTCACCGGGAAAATTTTTCAAATATTCTTCCGATCAAGAAAAAATTGTATTAGTTTTAATAACTGGCGTACCTGTCATTCGTCGGTCCGTCACTCATTAATCTCATTATCTTAATTTTTGCTCCTATCGATGTTCATGTGAATCACAAAGGAAAACCACACAATGCACGCGCAGTGTTGCCGCGCCCAACTTATAAAGGATACCACACGTTAAACTGAAAATGTACCATTTTGGAACATTATTTCAAATCAGCATAAAACACAATTATAACGGACCTTGAAATGGATTTTCGTCTCGAGAAATAGATGGCTCGTTCTCATCAGATTTGAGTGAATAAAATAGTTTTAGAAATAAGATTTCACTCACTTATCCATCCTTATATTTCTTATACTTATAGGTATGAGAATTGAAAACCGAGGGAATACGACATACAACCTGTGATATAACCACAGTATACACCCTCACCCTAGCGGAAAACAGTAATTTCTTAATTTCTATTTCACTTAGTGTTGAGGCGGATTCATGCAACATTCATTATAATTACATTTTCACTACATTAAAATTACTTTTTCACTAGCCACGGGCTACCCGTTCATGCAACTCATGCTCATAATGAACTAATTATTCGAGGTTATGTGATCTGCTTGGATTTTACAAATGTTTACAAGTTATTTGAGAATATGGATTTATTTTGAATATAATATGAGGTGAATCACAAAATGTTTTGTTGAAAAAATGATCATCCAATGATCTAATCTTGCAAATCAGTCGTTTTCACTAGAACTATAATGTAATTATAATGAAAAGTTAGAAGTTGGTCAACTTCTTAGTGCACTACTATGTGATGAAAATGTAATGAAAATGTGTTAATGTGTTGCATGAACGCATTCAATGATATAGGAGTTCTCAACATTCTTAATTTATAATGCAATGAAAATGTAATCATAATGACTGTTGCATGAATCGGCCTTTTAGGGTCGGAACGTTTGATGTTGGTGTCCACAAGTTTTATTTTTTGCCCGACCAGTGTGCATACCACCACGCACAGACTTGCGTGTTACGGGCTTGGTCTAGCCAATGGCAAGCCAATGACGACTCGCTCGTCATCACTGAGGAATGCTGTAAAGTCACTGAATTTTATGTGAACAGGTCCGGCTTCAAACAAATAAATAGCCAGATAGGCGTAGATTCGCACTCATAGAACCATTGAGATTTTGACCATGAAAAAAAACTGATTTTAGTTTTCTTTCTGGAAAATATTCTTGATGTTATTTTCGAATTCACATTACAAACAGTTCAACCACAGTATTTGTGGTTCAACTGACAATAAGTACCTATTTATATTATGTCTGACAGTGATTAAAGAATTGTTTAAATATATCCAATGTTTTTATTCACTCTTCATTTGGATAAAGGAATGGAAATATAACCATCCTCAATATTCTTGAATTATTTTTATTTCACACTGAAGTTCAATATGAGTTCAACTGACAATATTAGATGGCATACCGACTTAGAAAATCGATAACCCTGTGTCGCGGGCCAACAGTCTAATAGTTTGAAAACCAAAATTAAGTGGCGATCTAATCATCATCATCAAGTAGTGATGAAAATTTGGAGGTTTCAAGAGAATAAAGGAGACTACTTCCCAGAATTCATAATTGTTGAGTGTTTTGCACTAAAATTCAATGATGGATGAATAGGTTCTTATTGAAAAAAAAACTGCTCAGAATCATTTCCATGAAACATCTACTCTGTTTTTAATTGAAGTCGAGAAAGAATTTCAGGATACGGACAAGTTATAAACAATGACAAACCAATTTATCCGATTTAACCTCCAACAATAACATTTTATCATATTATTTTGTATTCCATTGGGAATGCACCAGTTCACATTTTGGAGAGAACTAAACGTAGTGCCGTAGTGCGGGTGCAAAACTGGTGCAAAACCAGTGCACCACCAGGTTTACGAATTGAATTCGCTAATAATCTTTCAGGTCTTTGAATTTTTTCCGTGACACATTTTTGAAGTGATGATAAATTCTATAGGCACGTTGAAAGTTTTCTGGGATGGAAGTTAAACGGCAAACTCGCGTCCCAGGTGCCGCGTACCGGCATAATCGTGTATATTTAGATCTATGCCTATACCATAGAAACCAGTTTTTTTTATAGAAGTTTGATGAACAAAATGAAAAATATAATATAACAAACAGGATGTTGTGGAATAAAATTAAAAACATAATTATTTAGTGTTCACATAATGGATAACAAGGAAAATGGATAGGTATATGCTAAAATGAAAGAGGAACATCAAAATGATAATAGGCAAGTACTAGATCTTGTTTGAGTTGAGACAAAATTGTTAGCTCAAAAATTTCCAATTCATATTGGGAAAAGAAGATATTATATTACATTATTCTCGTGTAGAACTTGGACTAATTCCATAATAGGAGTTTCTGCTTTAGTCTCTAGGAGAGAAAACTGTTTTTTTCAGATGAATAACATTCGGTAAACAACAAATTTGTCCAGATCCTCTACATACTTTTTTTGTAGTTAAGTTGCCAATTTGATCAAATTTCCATCCTCTGCTGACACTATATTTTGAACAGAAAGTCAAATGATTCTGAACAAGATTTGTAGGTGGAAGTTCGACGAAAAATTTCAAAAGCTACAACTCAAAATAAAACACTGTGACCGCAATTGTTCTCTCTCGTTTGAACTTTTTGACTTATTTTTTCTCCTAATTGTGCTTTTCTTGGGATGATTCATTTCTTAACATAAATTTCAGTTTAGGTAGTGTAGTGATCAAATCTTTCGCGTAAAAAATCAAAATATCCAGATAATGACTGATGACAAAAAATGTGCAGTTGTATTTTCATATAGCCGCCCTGAAGATTTTGCCGCCTGGTGCTATATAGCACCCAAAAGACCCATGGTACAACCGGAAATCATAGGTATAATCTTTGGAAGAAGTCCATCATGGTAACTCAAAGTGGAGTGGTATATTTCATATAGAATAAGAAGAAACCCAAAGTCATATCTACAACATTTATTTGACGATCAGAGATTGATCACATAGAAGTACATGTTTCGGGCTTTATATAAAAGCCTATCATCAGCCGAATACAATAATTAGTTCTAGAAAAACCAACATTGTATCTATATCCTATGTGATTGTTGGTTTTTCAAGAACTAATTCTTGTATTCATCTGATGATGGGCTTATATAAGCCTGAAACATGTACCTCTATGTGATCGATCTCTGATCGTCAAATAAATGTTGTGGAGGTGACTTTGGGTTTCTTCATCTATGAATCACAGGTATGCTATGTTCATAGATCTAAATATACACTATGGTATTCTGTGCAGCGAATCTTCACCATCCATTTAGACGGGTAGATGGCGCCAGCATACTGAACACAAAAATGTGTTTGGGATGAAGAAAAGTAGCACATCACGTGTCTCTACTCTCTATATAGTTCTTTCACTATACAATATGTGGTCTGCTAACTAATCATCCAAACGAAAGGGAATGCCAATGATGATTGAATAGAATATGAATATTGTGATTTTATACATAGGAGCGGAAACATGAAATGTACCAAAAATGCCTTAAATTCTAAATGTAGTACCACCGTACCAAACAGAATTAACTGTACCACATATGGTACAAATAATGTACCACCGCGGCAACACTGAGGCTGAATGAAACCAGTCATGTGACCATGTGAATCACAGACACATGACAGATACCATACCACTATCCATATCACAGCGTAAGCGTAATATATCAATCAACGATATCACATCACCAGAGTTGCCGTTTTTAGTACTATTGTACTTTTCTAGTACATTTCATTCACATTTAGTACGTCAATACAATTAACACTAATCTAGTACAAAAACAAAAGCTGGATAGCCTTATGGGATAGGCCAAGCATACAAAACAATTATTTGGAGAAGATATGTTATGATTGGAATCATATAATGCAGCCCTCATTGATAAAAAGTCCATAATTTCCAATTTAACGAAGAAACAATAATAATGAGCTGTTTATTGATGAACTGATTTGACTTTGAAGTTTGAGTCATCTATTTTATCTTATTGATATTATGATAGTATTTCTCATTCTATTATCTGATCTGTTCCTTTTGATCTCTTATTTTCGGCTTTTATTAGTTATAATTGTTTCAAACCTTCGTTTTTCAGAGGTGTTTCTATGTGCTGTATATAATTATTTTAAATTTGTATAGAATAACATGAAGTTTTTCATTAAATGTGTGAATCGTAAAGTTTTATTTTCTCAGTTTAGTACAATATAACTTGAATTTAGTACAATTTCGGAATAACTTCTAGTACAAATTGAAATTCTGAAACGGCAACACCTCAGGCAACACTGCACTGATTTAAGCTTTATCCAATGAACTCAATACAACCTTTATCATTATCACAATCACAAGTCACAAGTCACAGAGGATTTGGAGGAAACCAACCATGCGGACGTATAAACACAGTTTTATACGTCCATGAAACCAACGCACAAATTTAATCTGACGTGAAATGAAGCATCGTGCAATAGGACGTTATTCAACAAAACTCTCAACAAATGATCCTTGTGATGGGGATTGCTTCCTTTATTTTTTCAAAGTGAATACGGTGAAGACATTTACAGTTGAGGCCGATATATTATAGTGATTTTCTGTGGAAACATGTTTCCTCACAAATTATTTGTTGCGCCCTATTTCTTTGAATATTTTATCTACACCTTTTTCAGATGTATTTCAGAAAGCGTCAATTTCATTTCAGAATAGTCACTTGTATTTCAGAAAGCATCAATCATATTACAGAAAAGTCAATTCAATTTCAGAAAGCGTCAATTGTATTACAGAATATAGTCAGTTGCATTTCAGATAGCATCAATTGTATTTCAGAATAGTCAATTCAATTTCAGAAAGCGTCAATTGTATTTCAGAATAATCAATTCAATTTCAGAAAGCAT